ACTGTGATGTGTTTGCCAGAAACAGTTTAGCACCTGTTGTGCTTTGAAGCTGGTTCCTGTTAAACTATCATGACCTGTTTCGCACATTGCTGGTAGATGACTTTGTAAATCCTGTCTGTATTTCGTTACTTTCATAAGGGTCAAGTTTACTGCAGTGGATGATGACTCAAACAGCCCCCACTTGTCTTCATTAGATGTCAACCCTTGACACGAAAACGCAACCATTAAGCCTTTAACAGCCTCCCACAGTCCCTCTCGACCAGCACCACCTTTCCAGCTATTGATGTGAATTAAATCTGCTGTTTGCTGGAGGAGTGACAGGATACGGTGGCCCCATATTCCTGTGTAGACTAAAAAGAGGAGGAAAATCCAAACACTGGCAAATTTGGAGCCTGAACATGCAGTCCAAGACTGTAGTATGTGTTGGTATGTGAGAAAATGGATCAAGCAAAGCCTTACAGGAAGAGAAGCGTGACACGTTACATTTCTTAGATTTAAGATTAAGGTTATGTTACAATCAGTGAATATTTTTTAACTAATAATTGAATCTCTTCCTCTGTATGTGCATCAAATTAATTCAGTAAAATATAAACCAAACTATTCGGTAAACAATAATCTGTATATAACGATGAAGAAAAGCATGTTTACATGAACTGCAGTGGGTCTGTGAGTTTTGTAAACAACAGGGGAGTAAAGACATTGTTTTCCGATCAGCGCTAATGACTCGTCCTTTACTGCCTGTTCAGCAGCCCGTGTATTTTGCGCCCGCAGGGTTGCCGTCCGCCATGTTAAGGTAAAGCCCAGGTGTGCGGTGTTGACCATGCTAAAGCGCCTGGACAAGATCCGCTTCCGAGGCCCCAGGACGAGAGACGAATTCCCGGATCTGGCCGAGTCGCCACCTGCCTCCGACAACGAATGTAGCGACGACATGCAGCTGAAGCCGAGAGCAGCTCTGCGTGACACAGAGGACGTCCTGCGAGAACCCGTGAGTGCTCATCATTTTGTTTTCTTCTTTTGTGTTTGTTTGGTTTTTTTGTCCTGTGATGGAAAGGTAAACACACATGGGAGGATTTAGGGTTTTGTTTTTTTTTGTTTTTTGGGGGTTGTTTTGTGACTCATCCATTAGTCCTTCTAAAAAGGGTGTGATGCTAAATCACTGAAGTTGGTGTTTCTTCAACAGAAAAAAGGGGGGAGACAAGCAGGGGATTTTGCTTTACCTTTATCATGCTGGTTTGAATTTCTTCTCCAGTTTAAGGAGCGCTGCAGCTGAAAAACAAAACCATGTTGCTCTTTTTAAAAGTCCCCTTCTTTCTGCTTATCTGAAGAGGAACAAAAAAGGGAGGGCTCATCATGAAAAGAAAAATGGAGGAGATGGCAGCAGTGAGGTTTTTCTAATAGTGGACATAAGATATAGATAGCCATCAGCATGAGTCAAGAGCCTAAATACTGGAAGCATTTGTGAGAAGTAGAGAATGAAAAATGGTTTAAGCGGGGAAAGTGATGGAGGAGGCGAGAGGACAGGAAGTTGGCCTCAGAAGATTGGACTCCAAGATGTCTAGAGGGGAGGGCATGGACAAGACCCAGAGGAAACTGTAAGAAGACTAAACTTTGTGACAAAATAAAAAACACCATGTTTTCTGATATTTCTTCCCCCCACGCTGGATGCTGTTCTGAAATCTGAAGCTTTCTTCTGCCCTCAGTGGTGACTAAAAACGGCAGGATTGTCGTCATTGCCGTGCAATGATAGATAATTAAATGCACCAGATTAGTCACTTGATTGTATCATTTCCTGAATAAATGCTCAGGAGATCTCTGTCCCCTTTCATTGTTTTTTTTTTTTCTGTCTTCTTCTGTGTCTCTGTTCAGAGAGAGACTTTAGGTAACTGTTGCTCATGAGGCCTTTCTTTGAGTTTTCCTGCACAAACTTGCACGCATCAAATGAGTGATCTAGCCGTGAATTCCCTTTTGAGCATACTTTATAGGCATGTGCAACGTGTCTGTATTTTCATGTGTTTGTTTTCACATGTGCACCTGTGAGCTAGGATATAATTTTTCTGTCTTTGCTCTGGTGTTTGCCTGTGTGCATATCAGCCCACTGAGAAGGCATCACCCACATTACAGCACTGATGACTCACACTCTGAAGCCCTAAAATAGACCAAGCTTGCTCTCATCCCTGCTGGGATGCACACATGAGGCATGCACTTTCTCCCACATTCCCTTGTGTATCTTATAGCCTAAACGGCATGGTGGATATCTCACCTTTAGTCCACAGTACCCTTAAGAGGTCCTTATTGTCACACTGGAGCCCACCCTGGTGGCACCACTGATGTGTGCTTTTTACCCTTCAGGATTGGGTCATATGGCCTAAGTGGAAACCTAATTTCATTGCCTCATCTGTTTAAAAAGAGCGTGCCCTTGGGTTGCTGAATATATACACCGATACTTCTTGACAAACTAGCTTGTGTCATCCATATTAAATAGACAGGATGTCATTGGGCAGACGAGCGCGTGCGACCCCACCGGCCTCACTTTACCTGCTGGATCAGGCAGCTTGATCACCGCAAATGTTGGACTTTCAGTGTAGCCATTATCTATTGTAATGGTCTCTTTCAGCCAAGGCAATGACCAAAATGTAATGTTAATATTCAAATGTGAAAAACTAGACCTGAATTATGTATTCCTGCCATTACGTAGCACGTTTTCTCTCATTCTGAAGCAGGATATTGTGGTTATAAAGAAATAACCAAACTAATGAAGCATTGCTTCTGCCGCCAGCCATGCGGAGCATTAATCACCTAAAAAGGACTGACTATAACAAGTCACCCCATGAATTAAAACGAGCTCTACAAATTGAATCAATTGTACTGCCTTAAAATACTAAAAGTACCCAATAGGAATAATGTAAAAATCTAATTATAAATGTATTTATTAAGCACATTAAATGACCAAAGTGCTGAAAAAAGGCACAGTCGATAAAATAAACAAGTGAATAGATTTGAAATAAGTAAAGTACATGCTAGCAGGTGCTAAAAGTGTACAGTTGTAGTTGAAAAAGGCACAGGAGACACAGTGTGCAACTCGGTGTCAGAGGCCAATGAAGAAAAATGAGTTTTGTGGGTAGTTTTAGGACAAAATAGAAGGAGCAGGTTTGACAAAGAGGGCAAATGTGTCCTGGAGAAAATGTCTCGCAAGTTTAAATTTAGACGCGGGACCATCCGAGCAGCTAAGTGTCAGCTGATTGGATCTCCATTTGTAGACATCAATATATTCAAATGTCTCCATTTCCTCCAGCTGCATGTGTGCATTTTAATTAGATGCATTTGTTCCTTTTAAGTTTTACATATTGTCATGCATTTAAAATACTTGACCAGCTGTTAGCGCTGAACAGCTTCGAACCTGCCATTCAATGCCAAAGCATGTACTCACTAGACATGAGTACTTGAGCCTGTAATGATACCATCAGGATTTAAACTCAAGACTCTTATTTCTCTCTGTTTTTCATATTAAGGTCCAAAGATCAGTTTTGTAAAGGCAGAAAAATCCAAAAGAGTTGAGCTCTGGGTTACAGTCATCCTTTTGAAATGTCAACAGTAGCCAAACCTGATTTATATACTTTGTAAACACTACAGAATACAACCGAGTGGGTTTAAATTTGTCATGTATGAGGAGCTGTGAGCACCCTTTAAGATGTTGCTGTGGCAAGCGGTGTCTTTTTTTAGTATACCTTCTAAGTTGTATATTTTTAATCAGTTTTATTGGATTTTAAAGTGACTTTTCAAGAAACACCTCAGATACCTGAGCCATTTTTTAGAAATCACATGGTTAACAGCAAATCTGCTTGGGAAGGGGGGAGGGTGGGTAGTTTCACTGGTAGAAAAACAAAAGTGAAAGTGAGAAGAGGCACAAATAATACTTGTGTGGCTATCTTTGCAGCTGCATGTTCGTTAACAAGTGCTGCTATACTTGCATGTGCCTGCTATTGTCTATTGTGTTTTTTTTTTGTTTTTTTTTGCTGCTGCCCAAATACATTTGTTAATTGTTTTTCATTAGAATTGACAGATCAAAAAGTACCTCCAGCGGCCCGCTTGACCGCTGCTCTGTCAGACACAAAGAAGGTCTCTATTGATGTGCTCAGAAGCAGAGCAAAGCTTTGAAGTCTTCCTCTCTTATTATCACCTTCATCTGCGAGGCTCTCTTCTAGCCTCCTGAGAGAGTTAAAAATCAGGAGTAGAGTGAAGTCGGCACGTGAGATCCCAGGAGCTGCTCTCTTCTCAAATGACTCTGAATCGGGGAGGACTGGACATTTTCAGGGCGACTTGTCTCGTTACCTGAGGACTCCAGCGCAGGAGCCCAGCCCCTACATTAAAGCGCTAAGAGTAGCCTGCCTCACAGTGTAGGAGAGCACTTAGCAGCTGGTCGAATCTCTCCTCTGTACAAGAAAGCTGTTGCTAACCAGGACATCTCTGCATTTGTCTTGTTCTGATGATATTCTCCTAGAGGCTAGAAGAAAATGGAAACGGAGGTGCTGTCAGACAGGAAGTGTTTGCATCGGCAGAGTTTAGCAGAGTAAGTCAGTCATAACTTGACATTTTAACCTGACTTGATTTAGACTTTCAAGTTTTTCTCTTTAAGGTTGGCAACAAACCCAACTTCTAGTCACGAGCAGGCATAAAGTCTGTACAGCAGGTATCACTAAAAGAAAATGGATCGAGTTATATATCGATTTTTAAAAGCCGGCCTTCGAACAGGAAGGGCTGAAAGAGATATTGAGGAAGTGATTGAGAGGTATCAGTTTTTGCAGGATTTTGAAGCAGCTGTCAATTCATGTTGGGCTTCTAGCCAACAGCTGGCAGCATCATCTCTTTCCAGGCTTTAAACAAGTAAAAGCAGCTGAATACTCCCCAAAAACATCATCATTATTACTATTATTATTATTATTATTATTATGTATACTTTTTAGGAGCTGACTACTGTTAGTCTCCCCCCCCCATTTTTCTACACCTCACTTTCTTAAAAAAAATTAAAAATACTGTGATCAGAACAATTACATATTTATATCCTGGTGTTTGTGGATGGAGGGGGCCGGTATAATCATGAAGCCTGTAAAATAAGTGAAGTGAGAAATGGCTAATGTGAAGCAGAGAGGTGCAGAAACTACTGAGAGTTGTGGCTCAATAAACAGGACCGTCTGTGAAGAGCTAAAGAGCTCCTGGATGAAGTGGGTTAAATCTGCTCCTTGACTCAGATCACCCACACAGTTATCCAGTCACAGACAAAAAAGGTGCAAATCATGGAGACGCGAAGAAACCAGTTTCTTGAATCTTGCAGGAGTGCACAATGGCAGCACATTTTTAAAACTCAGAGGTTTATGAAGGTGCTTTATATTGTAAGGTAAGAATCCTACAGTAATACTGCAAAAACCCACAAAATTAGAACAATGAGTAAAGGACAGTGGGAAGGAAAAACTCCCTTTTAACAGGAAGAAACCTCTGGCAGAACCGGGCTCAGGCAGGGCCGGCGGACGTGACTGGCTAAGGTGTGATGACTAAGCAGCAATAAGAAAAATTCAATTCAATTTTAGTCAGTTGAAGCTGATCACTATTCATAGCAGAAATCACTCAACAGTTGGATTTAAAATTAAAAATCTGGGTGGAGTAAATGAGTTCAACAACATCTCTTAGCTTCTGTTTTATACCAGACAGACTGGATTAATATTGCATTTCAAATAGATTCCAGGGCGTGACCTTATGCAGTCTTTTGCTGAGGTTGCAGATAAATGGTTGAAGGCTGAGTGGGTGTGATGCAAAGTACAAGTTGATCTTTATATAGCAACCTTGTTGCTTGGAGAATTTCATTAGATGGAGGTGTTTCCTGTGATTTGCATACTTGTCACAGTTATATCTGTTCAGTTTTCTCAGCGTGCATTCTCAGAAGAGATTGAGAGTTTCTCTTTTTTTCCCAAACGGAGGGTTTCCTAAACTCGCATCACATGCTCATTAAAAGGAGAGAGGGGGAACACAATAATTAATTAGCCGATATTTGTCCAGGGTGACGTCAGCGTTTGACCTACTTTTGATAACCAGGACATTATGAGTGTGAGCGGACGCCTGCTTTAAGCATCAGAGGCGTGTATAAGTGATGCGTCCTCGTAGGACATAAAACAAAGCCGCCAAAATCCAAACTAAAGAGAATCGTTGCTCGCAATGCAGCAAAAAAACATCTGTTTGCCCCTCTGTCCTCTCCTCACATTTCCTCCTCATCTTTCTCTTTCATGCCTCTTTTTTGGCTCTCTTTCATCCTGCTGTCTTCATTTACTTCTCTTTCACTCAACATCCCTCTTCTTCTTCGTGACACACTTCCAGGAGAGCCTCTCATTTGTTTTCTTTGAAGTGCTTCTGTATTCAGGGACGCGCTATCCATCGCGGCGTCGCTGTCTCACCAGCCTTCGGTGTCGTTAGACTTTGGCTCTCTCCCAAAGCACTTTTTTTTTTAGGTCACCATCAGTTTTGTGCTACTGCGTCCTCTGTCTCCCTTGCTTGAGATGTTGCAGTCTGTCTATGCAGGCACATGCAAGCCTCACCGGTTGCTGTCAGGGAGAAGCTGCTGCAGTGTGTGTGCGTTAGTGTATGCGTCTGTTGTGTGGCGAGAGTCTCTTAAAGGACCCCCGCTATAGTCGAGCAGCGATGCTCAACCTGCAGTGCTCATCATGCACTAGCACAGCCGTCTCTCTCATCCTGTCCTCCTCCTTCATCACCCGCTCTCCCCTTTTTTTCCTTACCCTTCTCATCCCGCTCCCTTCTCTCTCTCACACACAGTCATCATCTCTCAGTCGTTGCCATACATTTCGTCCACCTACTCTCCCTGTGTGTCAGGGTTGTATCCCTCAGTCATTGCTGTTTGAGTCATCAGTGTTGCTGTAGTCAGAAGAGGTGGGGGGGTTCTCCTCTTTTTCGCCTTCCTCCTGCTATCTCGCTCCTGCTGGACTCGAACCAGGAGAGGAAACATTGGTGTGAGTCACTGCACCAAGCTAATCTGTGTGTATTCGATCATATGGGATCTCCCTGCTTGTGCTCTCGTGTGGATTTTGTGTCGCGTGCATGGAAATAAGAATTCAAATCTGATTTTCTTTGTTGTTTCTCTGTTTTTGTTTGTGTTTGCCTGCGTGCCTGTGTATGTATGCATGAATGAATGTGTGTGTCTGTGTGCACAGGCTGGTTCGGGGTCTCCCACTATGGCTGCAGCCATACAGGACTTCCAGAGGTCAGAGTCAGAGCGGCTCAACGAAGTCAAGGGTCATTTGGAAATTGCCTTATTGGAGAAACATTTCCTACGTGAGTATGCACACACTGCACTTTTCTGGGCATTTATTTTCCAACTAAATGATTGCTTAAGCTGCTTTTATTTACTGAAACTTTATTTGTGCTGCTTGCACTTAAAGCTGAGAAAAATCCAGTTTTTGAGGTGCCAGTGTAGGTATCAGCCAATCAAATATGTTTATTCAAATGCTCCAGTCTGCCTGTTAAGCCAAAAAATCTCATGCATTTATTCAGAAAGAGCAAAGTGGCTGTCTGTTATAGTTCAGCATCAAAATGGAGAAGTTGATCACTGAAGTGGCTAATCAGCCTGTTCTAAATGAACGCATTTCCTAACAGGCAGCTAACTTGGCTGATAACTTTTAATTGAAGCTCAGCTACCTTGCTTTGTGATGGTTGGTTACTGTTGCTATGGTAGTCGCACCAGCAAAAATAGCCACACAAACATCCGTAACACCCACCATCGAGCATATCTGAGTCCTGCCTCAGATTTTCTGAATTACCCAGAACTAGCGATGCAGCAGTTCAGTCGTTTCACTTCAGGTCTTATTTGATCTTATTTGTGCTTGTTAAGCATCTTTACAGTCGTTTACCGCCACACTAGTTTCTTCTTATTTGCTCTGCGTGTACCTTTTCACGTGAGGAGTGGATCTAACGATGAGAATGTTACTAGAGTTGACTCTGACTAAATAAAAGCGTCCCGATGACACAGAGAGGAGGACAAAGCAGCATCAGAGGAGGAACTTTTCATTCGTGCCATCTCATTTAAACCACAGTCTGTGGTTAGGTCACAGACTAGTGTGGAGCAGCTGGTGCACTGCTGCTGACACGTGGCACACGCAGACCAACAAAAAGTGGCTAAAGACACCAGCACCTTCGATTTGCCCGTTGTCAGCGATAGTTGATGTAGCTTTTTGAGTGACAATTTGGCCGATTGGGTCCAAATGTCGGAGCTGTCCCATCCCATTCCCATTGTTTTATAGAAAACTTCATATTTGGCGAGACGATTGCAGCTGTAAGAGAACAAGTGAAAATGTCTGTTGCATTGTGTTGCACTGGTGATTTGGTGTTGTAGAGATATCGCCTCATGAATTCATCCGTTTCTTATCTAAATGGCCTTTTTTGTTTGTTTTTGGTGTGTTTGTACGGCAAATGTAGCAGGCAGCCTCTTATGCTGAAGAGATGGTTTTTGGTGTAAAGAGTCTAAGAACTCGTGCTGGCACTTAGTGATGTCTTATCATGCAACTCGACACAGAAATGTGCTAGTCGTGTTGTAGGAGAGATTTTAGAAGTGATACATGTTTCTTATTAAGAAGAATCACACATGTTGTAAGTTCTTGCAAAGTGACAAACGTAATCTGTGTCATCTTGTGATCTCACTGAATTTGCGGTTTAACTGTCTGAGACTGCAGTCGGCTTGGTTTTATGCATTGCTCGCGGTTGTTGTGCACAACGTTGTTATGTTGGGCTGCCAATCTGTTAGATTCAAGAAATGCTAATGAGTTGCTCAATTTAGAAGCTGAAATAGAAGCTCCTATCTGATAAGCAGTACTTGGTTTTACCAGAGGCTGTGTGCCATGGTGACAGAGGCCACACCCATTGTCTCATACCCAAATGGAACAGATGATTGCTTTATCAGTGTTTTGTGTGATTGCTTGATATACATGGCTTTTTGTCTGTGTCTGTTTTCATTTTGTCCTTTCTGCTGCCTCATTGGAGACTGAAAATGATCAGATCCAGCAAGGTCAGAGTTTTGTTGGAACATTTCCCTCGGGGGGTTTGAGAAGAGGTCTAAACAGGGTACTTTCCAATCCTGCAAACACATGGTTTATCCAGAGGACATCTCCCAGTTGTTGTCTCAGACACTGAAAGCAATGTAATGCTTGTATGTTAGTTTTTTTTTTTTGTTTTTTTTAAACAGTATTACAGTAGATCGTCATCAGTGTTGTCAATGACAGAAAATACTAAAATTTTGCTCTCATTAATGTGAAAGAAGTGATGAAATACTCAAATCCAGGCATTCTGTCATGTCATCATCGGGTTAGCTTAGCTCTCTGTAAGGAAGCCTTTCTCCAGTTTCTCAAAAGCAAGTTGAAGGGGAAACAAATACGAACACAATACTGAACAACCTAGTGTGACTGTGTAATCTATGCTAGAATTGACAGTAACAAAGGCAGTATCATCTTGTTTTGGTAGCTGTATGTTAGCAACCCTGAAATTATACTGGAAACATGATGGAACAAGCAGCTGCTGCACTAGTGTTAATCAATTGTCCATGCTACACCAGAGAGGCAGCCTGGGAGGAGACATTACAAAGTGCTAGTGAACCCAGTAACCCTGGAAAGCGTTTTATGTTTTTGGACCTTATATAAACTCGCTCGATGTGCTTTCAAAAAGATTTCAATCCTTCCATCCATCGGTTTTCTTCACTGCTTATACAGTTCAGGGTCATGGGAGGATAGAAATTATTGTAGCTATCAAAGGATAGATGGCCATTGAAACTCACATTCACATTGTTGATTTTTAGCTCATACATCTGTCTGACCATGTGCCTGTTCACAATTCACAAGAATCACTGATATCAGCCTAAAGGCAAGACCAAGAGTCAAAAAACTACTTGTCACATACTATTTTTTTTTTATATGTGCAATGATTGATAATGTGCTAACACGATGACTTTATAAGGGTTATAATTATAGCTACTTGAAGCAGATTTTCAACAATTAATCAATTAATCTGTGGATTTTTGTTTTGTAAAGACAAGCGCCATTTTAGTTTTAGTGTTTCAACTGACTGCATGACATTTGCATTCAAAGTGTGCAGTCCTTCCTGTGCTAGGTGCTGCAGCCCACCAAAATGTTGCACCCACCTGTAGGTCTACCTGTAGCCAGGACCTAATTTGTCCTTAATTAATCTTAACAAACTCCATTTGCTTATGAAAGTCATTATGACTTCCACACAGCATCCAATAACAAAACTGTGCTCAGTGTAGATTCAGGGTATCTTTGCAGTTGTCATCACTGATAAAAGTAGTGGGAAAGTAGCAGATTTTTCTGTAAACGTTTAGTGATTTATGAAGAGGCAGGGAAACGGGGGCAAAGCAGGTTAAGTCGGGGTGAGGGGACTGGACGGTGCTTTTCTGTTACAGGCTTGTCTAACCTGGTTGGTGTGCAGTATGCAGTTGCTGTACCTTTACAACAACCTTGTTGCCGGTGCTCTGTAATGGACTGTCAGGTCTCCGCCCGCCCTCTTTACCTTTTCTATTAGCAAGT